TTATTTTTATCCCAGATCAAAGGTCAATTTGATCGATCGGATGTTTTTTTCAAGCCTACATCACCATAAAAGAATAAGCTTCGATTGTTAAAAAAATCAACTAAGCTTTTTTTTTCTTAATTAAAAGTAAAAAAGATACTTCGCAAAGAAGAACCCTCATGTGAATCAAAAACCATTTGCGAATTTCGATTGTTAAAATCTTTTGTCCTGATCTTTTCCTCGTGTTCATTTATTTTTATCTCAGATCAAAGATCAATTTGATCGAACAGATGTTTTTTCAAGCCTACATCACCTTAAAAGAATAAGCTTCATGCAAGTATCAAAAATTTCGATCGTTTAAAAAAAATCAACTAGGCTTTTTTTTCTTAACCGATCAACGTGTTTTATTTGTTTTTCCAGAAAGGAAATTTTTCATTAATCAAAACGATTTTATTGTTTTCTCCAAAAGGAAATCAGATCACTCACCATCCTTCAAATGGTCAAAACCAAAAAAGATTAAAATTTTTTCTTATCCAGACCACCCACTATCTCTCAAACAGTCAAAATCCAAAAAAAAAATTTTCGTTCAACATGAACAATCAAAAAAATTTGACAACATTTTGAACCGTCTTGTGACCAGAAAATATCACAAACACGTTGTGTGACGAGCCTTTGACGATCCGAGGTAAAGGTTCTAAGACAAAGGCCATCAGTTTTTGGTCATTTTGAACGGTCCAAACGTCTGAGCAAGACGAAGACCTAACGATGGACAGCGGTCAACACCACGCAAAAACATCTAAAGCGAAACACGATTTCCTTTCAATCAAGTATCTGTTTCGCTCAAACCTGACGTTTTGATAAGTTTTTCAATTCACAAATCATGATAAACAGATAGCAATTGGGTTTCGCACAATACGGTGACGTAAAAATAATATCATTTTTTTGTTCAAATTTCAATTTCATTAATTAACAAATTTCAAATTAATTTGCAAATCATTTCAAGCCAGCGCAGCAAAAAAAAAAAAAAAACGAAATGTTATACCCTTTGATTTGATCTCTTCCTTCCCCAAAAATTCAGTTTAATAAAGTTGAGAAACAGGACGTACCTCAATCTCACACCCCAATGATATCCCAGTTCTTAATTCTGAAATCAAGCCAATTGACTTCACACAATTGCAGAAGAATAAGGATTATTAAAGGTCAACTTTAAGGTAAAAAAAGCCTGATCAAGCAATATGTTTTATTAACATGGGTATTATGAAATTTTCTGCTCATTGTTTTATTTTCATTACATTTTTTATAACATATGTGCTGAATTGTTCATTTAAAAATCTAGGTAATACTATGGAGTCATTCTTGAACCTGAAGGGATCTATTGACCTCGGTCTTTGTTGAAATTAAAAAAGATTGAGCCTTTAGCTCGAGGTGGATTTAGTATGGTTTATAAAGCAACATGGATTAACCATTATGATACAATTTTCCAGAAATTTGGGAAAAAAACTGTTGTATTAAAAAGATTAAATTCTTCTAAAAATTATACCTTTGCTATTATCAAGGAGGTAAAATGCTTAAAAATATTATTATTATAAATATTATTTATAAATATTATTATTAAATTTAATAATATATATTATTATTTTTTTGTGATTTTTAGTTAAAAGCAAATGATGAGCTTTATTTTTCTGTTAATAATTGCTATGGAATTACAAAAAATCCAAATGAAAATGATTATATTTTGGTATTTCAGTATGCCCCAAATGGAGATTTACATAATTATTTATCAAAAAATTTCAGAGAAATTACTTGGATAGATAAAATTAAATCACTTTGTTGGATTTCAAATGGGTGAATTTATATATTACTATTATTAATTATTTTTTTTTATAATATAATTAATTAATCAATTTATTTATTATTAATGTAAACTAGGTTAATGAATATTCATGTAAATAATTACATTCATCATGATTTACACAGTGGAAATATTTTTTCATATGAGATCTAGGATTATGTCAACAAGTAATAAATGAAAAAGAGTATCCAAATGAAATTTTTGGAATTATTTCATTCTTAGCACCTGAAGTATTATCAAAGAAACTATATATAAAAGAATCAGATGTATATAGTTTTGGTATGATTATGTGGGAACATACTACAGGCCAAAAACCATTCTACAATGTTCCACATGATTATCACCTTGCAACATATATTCTGGAGGGGGGGCGACCTCAAATTACTGAGGACACACCTCAATTCTATGCTGATTTAATGCAAAGATGTTGGGATCCTAACCCAGAAAGACGGCCTAATGCCAATGAAATCAATAGTATTTTGAAAGAATACCATAATCTTGATCAATATGATAAAAGAAGGGGAACCCTTACTTTAGCAGAAGTTAAACGTTTAGAAATTATCAATTCGGAAAAATATTTGTCAGACAAAGAGAAATATTATCATCACCCAGAAGCATACTTTATAAGTCGTCCACTAAGTGGAATAATTGAAAAAATTAATTTACTCGCTATTTCATCAAATGGATCAGATCAACAAGATAGCAAGATTAATAACTTACCATTCTGCAAATACTTTAGTTAAATAAGTTCTTATATTTAATAAATTTAATAGGTTATGTTGGTGATGGTGACAAATTATTTATTATTACCTTTTGTATTATTATTTTAAATAAAAAAATTATCTCTGAGACATATTTTAATTAATAATCTATTATATCTTAAATAATAATGATTAATGACAATTAATAACTTATCAAATAATTTTTAAAAAGATGCCCAAAAACCACATTTATTTGCAGGTAAAATATAGTATATGATGATATATTGGTAAGTTATACTTACCTTTTGGTGATGTTCACATTAAGGATACCGGCTGCAACTTTTGATGATGGTTGCTACCACCTTTGCGTCATATAAAAATGATTGCAACCGCCTTTACAACCATTTTGTTTCCTTTTTTGGGTTGCGACATGGAACAATAGTTCACATGAAATTGTTAATTCAATAAACATCTTCCATATGATACAAAACTTAAAACTTTTGTCAATTAGTTCAAGTTACCTATTATGACAAGAAAAAAGAATAAATATGACAAGAAAGTTATTGAATTGTAATCATCACCCATTAAGTGAGCAAGCTGATTCACTCAGGAGTTTTGTTGTATAATTAAATAGTGTGTTCGAAATTCCTTCCAATTGGCTAATTTGGTTTTCATGTACGTGAATGAAATAAATCAGTCTCTATCTCTATTTTAATGTATCCTTCAACATTATTAGTTTCTATATCTTTATCTTACACCTTTGCTAATTTTAGAATATATTTCTTTATCTGAGATTTCATCCAACCCTTTTTTTCTGTTGTAAAACCGCAAATTCATGTTCGCAGCCTGCAAAATGAGAATCACATATAATTTTAGTGCCACTTTTTGTTAAAGTTTACTTTCCGTATATTTCCATATCTGTCGTAAATAACATCATTCCATATATTGATGATAATTAAAAATATCAATGCAATAATATGATATCTTATATAGTGAAGAATTTCTCAGGTGTGTGTCTGTTGTCTATTCACTTCATATATTATATGATATGATGCTATTGAATCCTGTAATGTTGATGCAATATGAAATATCTAAAAATGCAAAATGAACAAATTAATAAACATTAGTAGCAGACCTTGATAAATGGAAACATCGCTACAAAGTGATTTATCAACAGTTGCTTGAAGACTAGATATTTTGATTAAACAAGACCGTTAATAATTACCATCGCAACATCAACATTTGCATTATTACAAAAAAAGAAAATTATCTAATAAAGAAATATTTAATATTTATAAATAATCAAATGAAAAATTCTTTGTTTTAGTGAATCTTGTTATATATAATTAACAACAAAATTTTTACTTTCGTTAAACAAATGCAATTTCCTATATATCTCATAGATAAGGTTTGACTGCGTTTATCTTATTCTTTAAATTTAAGTTTAAAAATCCGATTTGATTCGAATCAAATCATTTTGAAATCCGACTTGTTTTGTTCCCTACATACACGAGTGTTATCTCTTATTTCATCAACAAATTTTTATGAAATTTGATACATTGTCACTGATTTATTATTATTCTTGTATATTTCCCATTTCCAAGTCAAACTCATTGCCAATGGATGTTTTGGATATTATCATGTTTACATCCATCATTTGTTTTGTTAATAATGGTTTAAATTTATTACATTAAAAATCTCGTTGAAGAGGAAAGAAACTTGATTTCTAAGAATAAATATAAATGTCAAAATTTAATACAGCCTTAATATAAATTAACTCAAAAAATGTTGTTCTAATAGTAATAAAGCATACATAATAGATTCTTTTGCCCTTCGACTTTTTATTCGATTTTTTGGTGTTCCTTCATTTCTTAGAGTAGTTTCCAATTTATATTTATTGTTATGTTTACTGATATTATAATTGGGATTGATATTAGGAGTATTTTTGTTATATTAATAATAGAAATAATTTCGGGTTAAGGGAAATCTTTGAAAGTAGTTTTTGTTGTTTTCTTTTTGGGTTTCTATTTGTTTGTTTTTTTTTAGAGCTCAAGGAACACAAATGACATTGAATATTAAGAAATAGAGTTTAAATTCTCTCTAAGAAGGGTTTAAAATTACGTTCAATGTGAAAATAATGTGACTATTTGGTTTTGTAATCTGTAGTTATTTTCTTTGTAAATTAATAATGGATATAATGTCTTCTTTGAAGGCAAAAAAAATTTTAATGCATTATTATTATCATTTTTATTTTATTTTTTATATTAGAAAAAAGAAACAAAGAATAATAATAAAAGAGAGTTATTTTTAAAAGAAATAATCCCAATTATTATTTTATGTTTTAATTTATTCTTGAAACAATCATATGTTTATTATATAATTTATATCATTACATATGAAAAAATGCAGGAATACATGCGTTATAAATAAGGAAATTAAAAAAACTGGCCAAAATTTGGAGCCAAAATCAATAAAATCTTGGGGTGTGGAAAATTTCTGATTGGCTAATTTGCGTGTGAATTAAATTCTCGCAGTTTTCAAATTCACGCACAAAATTATTAGGTTTTCTAATAATTTCGTCCCTGGGGTGCAACGAATGGAAAACTTGCATATGCATGGAAAGGATAGTTCTACTAAATCTGGCATCTTAGCACATTACGTTAGATTTAATATTAGCCATTTTGTTTTTTAGAAATGGCTCTACAATTTGCAATCGTATACAATCAGGAAGGGAACCAAGTAGAAACTCGAACACTAAAAATTTTCCAATACCACTTGGATCACAACGCAATGGAACACAGAAAGGAGGCTCGGATTATAATTCAACAATAATATCAATGATTTATTTTCCAGCACTACCATATTTTCACTTTCCAAGACGTTTGTCAAAATTGGCCCCCTAAAGTTTTATTCTGCACGCATGGTCTATAGTATTGTTATTACTTGGGAGATGCAATTATCCTTTACGAGTGTCGCCCACCATTGCTAAAAACAAACCATCAAAGCAGGTGTGAGAGATATTTTGGTGTTTGATTGAATCATTATATTTAACAGATTAAAAAAAAGAAACAAAAAATTTGACTTATTATTAGAAATTTTCGTTGAATGAATTCATATTGAAAATAGACTATTATCTTGACCTGAGTGATGTCTTTTTTTTGAGGGGGACAAAGAAGACGCAATCCAAACCCAACTTAAAATAAATGAATTTTTGTTCTCGCGTAGCAGAAGCTCCCATTGCGCTCCCAGTTGTGGGCTTGTTGAATTAAAATAAAAAATTCCAAGTCATGTGCAATTAATTTATTATTGGTCGAAATTATACATAAGAAACAATTAATTGTAATTTTATTAAATCTTTTTTTTTTAAAAAATGGCAATTTCCGAAAAAATCGAAAAAGATAAAACATTGCACTTGAAACTTAGAAGAAGCCGAGAAAGAGTTGAAACATTCACGGAAGGGTGGGAGGGGCAGAGGTTGAAGGAGTTGTGGAGAGGAGAGGCAGAAAGACATGAAGGAGAGTTTGGTCACTTAAAAGATAAAGAAGAGAGGTTGAAAAAAACGAGGAGAATTGGAGAAACCAGACAATATTCTTGCAAAAGAAATTATCTAAATTTAATAAAGAAAAATGTAATGAACAAATTGCATAAAAAAATATACAAAAAATTATTTTTCATTTCGTTTCTTTATTTATTTTTCCATCTATTCAACTATTGAACCACCATTCTTATATAATTTAGATACTAGTGTTATCAAAAAAGGGATTGAAGAGATTAAGAAAAGACAAGAGTATGATAAGAAAAGACAAGCAGATGAATATTTTAATAGAATTAAAAAGTAAAACTTTCTATTGAGGAATGAAAGACATGTCCTAGTAAGTATTTGAATATTCATTTCAAGGATACCATATGTTTTGATTAGTTGTTAATAAGTATAACATAAAAATATGAATATTTGATATGAATATTTGAATATTGATATATTTCTTTTCTAACATTTTTTTGTAGCTATTAATACAGAAGCAAAGAAAGGCAAATTTATTAGAGATAATGGTAAATTTATTGAGTTTCCATTTGAGAGATTAGTTAATTTGGATATGAGCAATCATAGAAAAGGCAAGTTTTTGAATTCACCAGATCTAGATGATGAAGAAAATTTATATCAGCAATTTTTTATGAAACAATTCTAGGGATTGATTAAACATTTGGATGTTGATCTTTATGCTTATTATTCCCATAATGTTAGTCTCCTTAATTCACAAAAACCAGATGTGTTTTTATTCGGAAGGGTTTGTCTTTTTGATCCACTCAATGTTGAAATAGTTTTGGAGTTGAAAACTAAATACAGAAATGATTTTAGAAATGAGGAAATAGGACATATGGCAGCATTTGCTGAAAAAGTGCTTCAACTCCAACCTCAAAGATCTTTCATATATGGTGTTCTAACAGATTGCTATGATATTATGTTTATTAAGGTTCAAAGGTCAACAATATTCTCAGATGATTTCACTAACAAGTTTAAATATGAGCTCACTAAAAAAGAATTACTTAAATATGGCAATCAAGGATGGAATTGTCTTGCTACTCTACTTGTGCAAAAAAGTGAACAACTAGGTTGGATTAAACAGCAATCATTCTATGAAGAACATGGTAGTATTGTTACATTGAAGAGATGTATTGGTCATGGGAGGACATGTCATGTTTTTAGTGGAGAATCACATGATAGCATTATTGTTGCAAAATTTTAAAGTATGAAGATAATATTGAAAAGGAAGTGAACATTTGAAAAAGCTAGAAACCTTGAACTCTTCAAATGTCCCTCCCATTTTATTTTCAAATTCAATCTCTATTGTGATGCCTTTATATGGAAAAGTTAACAATTTACAAAAAAAAGATATCTCTCCCCTTGTCAAAACTATAAAAAGGGTTCATGACTTAGGAATATTACATCGGGATCTTAGAAAATCCAATTTATTACAGGATGCAAACAGTGGGGATATAGTGTTTTTATTAATGAATTAAACTATTTTGCAGGGGGTCTAGAGGTGGCAGCAGATGATATCCTTCAAAACCTTATTGAAGAAAAAAATGAATTTATTTATGATTGTCAATTTGATCTAATTAGTATTGTATGCATGTTCTATTTAATGCTCCATTGTCCAACCCTTGAAAGATTATCTTTTAAAGAAAAATGGATTAGTAAGAATGAGGTTATTATTTCAAATGCCATCTCTAACCAATGGAACACTTTATGTCAAAAAGCAAGTAGTCTAGATTATGATGATCTTATTTCAGGGCTGGAAGATTTTTTCTGAAATACAAAATTCATATTTTATAAAGTAATCCCAACTTATTATAAGCTCGTATTTCTCAAATTATAAATCAAACAAACCTCTTTCCCTTTTATTTCATTTTAGTTATTGTATCATATGTTTAAATGGCTTGATTTGGGAGATTGGGAGTGAATAAAAATGATGCTAAGGAAATAATTTATGTTGGCTTAATCAGCTGAGCTGTTCTGATTCAATTACCTATAGTTGTGTTAATTAAGTTTGCATGAATTCAATTTTTATTTATAAATGGTATCTCTGTGAGACATATTCAATTATCTATTATATCTTAATCATAATAATAATGCTAGTTGACAATTAATAATTTATCGAATTTTTTTTTAAAAAAATGCCCAAAAACCACATTTATTTTGCAGATAAAATATAATATACAATAATATGATATATTGATAAGTTATACTTACCTTTGAGGTGTTCATACGAAATTGTTGATTCAATAAACATCTTCCATCTGATACAAAACTTAAAACTTTTGTCAGTTAGTTCAAGTTACCCATTATTATTATGACAAGAAAAAAAAATAAATGATAAGAAAAGTTATTGAGTTGCAATCATTATCACCATTAAATGAGCAAGCTGATTCACTCAAGAGTTTCGTTGTATAATTAAATATAGGGTGTGCGAAATTCCTTCTGATTGACTAATTTAATAATGTACGTGAATTGCAAAATTCATGGAATAAATCAGTCTCTATCTCTATTTTAATGTATCCTTCAACATTATTAGTTTCTATTAAAATATATTTCTCTATCCGAGTTTTCATCCAACCCTTTTTTTCTGTTCTAAAGCCACAATAAATTGAAAATTCATGTTCGCAGCCTGCAAAATGAGAATTTTAATGCAACTTTTGGTTGAAGTTTACTTTCCGTATATTCCCATATCCGTCACAAATAGCATCATAATCAATCCATATATTGATGATAATTAAAAATATCAATGTAATAATATGATATTTTATATATTGAAGAATTTCTCAGGTGTGCCTGTTGTCTACTCGCTTCATATATTATATGATATGATGCTATTGAATCCTGTAATGTTGATGCAATATGAAATATCTAAAAATGCAAAATGAACAAATTAATAAACATTAGTAGCAGACCTTGATAAATGGAAACATCGCTACAAAGTGATTTATCAACAGTTGCTTAAAGATTAGATGTTTTGATTGATCGTTAATAATTGCCATCACAATATTAACATTTGCATTATTACAAAAAAAGAAAAATTATCTAAGAAAGAAATATTTAATATTTATAAATAAATTAATCAAATGAAAAATTCTTTGGTTTAGTGAATCTTGTTAACAACAAAATTTTTACTTTTGTTGAAACAAATGCAATTTCCTATATATCCCATAGATTCCTTGAAATAAGGTTTGCTGTGTTTGTCTTATTCTTTAAATTTAAGTTTAAAAATCCGATTTGATTTGAATCAAATAATTTTAAAATCCGACTTGTTTTGTTCCTTACATACATGAGCGTTCTTCAACAAATTTTTATGAAATTCGATTCATTGTATATTTCCCATTTCCAAGTTAAACTCATTGCCAATGGATGTTTTGGATATTACCATGTTTGTATTCATCATTTGTTTTGTTAATAATGGTTTAAATTTATTATATTAAAAATCTCGTCGAAGGTAATAGTCATATAACATATTTGTGTGTGAAGAGGAAAGAAACTTGATTTCTAAGAATAAGTGTAAACGTCAAAATTTAATACAGTCTTAATATAAAATTAATTAACTCAAAAAAAATGTTGTTCTAGTAGTAATAAAGCATACATAATAGATTCTTTTGCCCTTCGACTTTTTATTCGATTTTTTGGTGTTCCTTCATTTATTAAAGCAGTTTCCATTTTATATTTATTGTTATTTTTACTGATATTATAATCGGAATTAATAGTATGATTATTTTTGTTATATTAATAATAGAAATAATTTCGGGTTGAGGGAAATCTTGAAAGTAGTTTTTGTTGTTTTTCCTTTTGGGTTCTATTTTTTTTTAGAGCTCAAGGAACACAAATGACATTGAATATTAAGAAATAGAGTTTAATTCTCTCTAAGAAGGGTTTAAAATTACGTTCAATGTGAAAATAATGTGACTATTTGGTTTTGTTATTTTCTTTGTAAATTAATAATGGATATAATGTCTTCTTTGAAGGCAAAAAAAAATTTTTAATGCATTATTATTATCATTATTATTTTATTTTTTATGCTAGAAAAAAAACAAAGAATAATAATAAAAAAGAGTTGTTTTTTTGAAAGAAATAATCTCAATTATTATATTTTATGTTTCAATTGATTCTTTTTATCTTTTTGAAACAATCATATGTTTATTATAGAATTTATATCACTACATATGATTCCCTATGAAAAAAATGCAGGAATACATGCGTTATAAATAAGGAAATTAAAAAAAACTGGCCGCAATTAGATTGTAACCATCACCAAAATTTGGAGTCGGTATCCTTAGTTGTAAACATCGTTAAGTGTTGGTTGGCAAGTAAACCAATTTCATGATTCACTAATCAATCATTGCAAACTACACGATTATGTTGTTATGAGTCAAAATCAATAAAATTTTGGGGTGGGTATTTGGATGCAAAATTCTGATTGGCTAATTTGAATATTCCATGCGTGTGAATTTGTGAATTAAATTCTCGCAGTTTTCAAATTCACGCACAAAATTATTAGCCCTGGGGTGCCCAAAATGGGCAACGAATGGAGAATTTGCATATGAATGGGAAGGATAGTTCTACTAAAGCTGGCATCTTAGCACATTATGTTAGATTTAATATTAGTCATTTTGTTTTTAGAAATGGTTTTTAAGGATTTCTACAATTTGCAATCGTATACTATCAGGAAGGAACCAAGCAGAAACTCGAACGCTAAAAATTTTCCAATACCACTTGGATCACAACGCAATGGAACACGGAAAGGGGGCTCGGGTTAAAATTCAATAATAATATCAATGGTTTATTTTCCAGCACTGCCATATTTTCACTTTCCAGGACGTTTATCAAAATTGGTTCCTTAAAGTTTTATTCTACGCGCATGGTCTGTAGTATTGTTATTACTTGGAAAATGCAATTATCCTTTGCAAGTTTAAGAATACGCATCAAGTGTCAACATTGTTCAAAAACAAACCATCAAAATAGGTGTGGGAGATATGTTGATGTTTGATTGAATCATTATATTTAATTGGTTAAGGAAAAAATAAAAAACTTGGAACATATTATTAGAAATTTTCGTTGAAATGAATCCACATTGATAAAATATTTGAAACAAGTACAATTCCAAAATTCAAGTTTTTTTGATTCTCTTGTGATTATCGTTGTCATAATCATCAACTATTAAATATCTCCATCCTAATTCAGACACAAAATTATGAAGCAAATTCCATATCCTTTTGAGGTTATAATAATTCTACACACAAATTTCTGGATCAAAAGAAAATAATTATTAGTAAAAATATTTTTTAATTGTTAATGTTTTTAAATTATTGTTCGTGTATGCGTGTCTCTGAACAAACGTCTCAAGACGTTTCTGTCATCTGCTTTAAACATAAAGGATTATCAATATTTTTAAAAATTTAATTCGCAATTCTCCAGAAACGGAAAGAAAATACATGTTGCAGGTCGTCTTTGTTTATTATACTTGCATATAAAAATTTATATCACATAACTTTATGTCCCATTAACACTAATACAATATCACACATGCATAATATGATTTTCATTGTATAATAATAATAATAAAGCACAACCTTAAAACCGGTTCGGAATTACGGGTAGAAAAATGCAATATTAATAAAATTAATTATTTCACTTATATAGAGAAAAGCATATAAAAGCTATTTATTGTTAAATAAAAATAAATTTTTAAATAATCATAATGATGATAATATTAATATGCAAAGAAAAAATTTAATAATAATAGGTTGCGTAACATTCTTTCTGATTGTTCACCACTGTATCATCATCGTCTATCCATAAATTCATTTTTTTTTGGAAAAGAAAAAAATTTAATTAATGCAATATTGCATACACAGTACATCTTAACAAGCATTTACTGCAAGTCAAATTTGATTTTTTAATCAGTGTATCCAGTACAAATAATTAAAATAATAATAATAATAATAATAATAATAATTAGTCACGTAACAATTCTTATTTTACTATAGATTTTTTGGAAAAGAAAAAAAATAATTAATGCAATGTTGTATTATGTGCGTACTCTTTAATAATAGTAGTAGAATATTCTGATATAATTATCATATTTCCAATAAAATTTCTTTTGAATAAATGATTCTATTATATTATTCAAAACCTTGTGTCTGTTCAACTGTTATATTATCTTTCAATATATTTTTTAAATACAATAGTAATATATGTTAAATAAATTACAATGCTTCAATAGGTGTAAACCAATTTAGTTGTATCTCACTTTTACTCCCCATTCTCTTGCATTTAGTCCCATAATGTGAATGTGGCTTTATTTCGCCTACTGCAACAAGATTTTACAATTAAAGTGGGACATTTTGTCATTTTAAATTTCCATAATTATAAACCGATTCAGGATTCTGACTATTGATTGCATTTTATTATCACAAATTGCGAATTGCGAATTAATCTTTTAGATCTGGTTTGATGTCTTGAGTTATATGGTTTTAATTATCTCAAATATAATATTTCCCTCTTTCCTTTTTCGAATTGATCGAATTTTTTCTAAACGCTTTTCCACTCATTATTTATTATTATGGTTAGTAAGTAGCAAGTGATTCCAAATAATAAAATAATTTGACATTTCACATTATATATTGATGTGTGTTTTGCTCTTTGGAGACTTTGTATTTTTTATTTTTTAACAAAGGTGATTCCCATTTTTGATATTCTCTTAATGGTTAGTGCTTGATGGCGTGTTAGGGACTTTTTCAACTGCCCTTGTCCATGAGTCAGTTTATTAGTTAGGATATCACATCTTTATTATTCATGATTCTCATAAGGTATGAAATTCCTAATAATAATAAATGATTGTACATTTTGTTGTTTTCTGAGAACAGAAGTAGGACCCCTAAACTATATAGATAGGTCAGTCAGTTACAAAAATTCCCCAAAATTATATTTAACATAAATTTGACCTTAAGGTTTGCAATAACATTAGAAAAGAGCATTAACATTAAAATTTCTTTTGAAACTGTTTACATAAATGGTCAATAACATAATTAACCCTTTTTTATTTTTTCATTTTTTATATTTGATCTAGCTGCGGCAGTAACCTGTATAGTTTTCGGAGTCTCACATAGATGAATCGTCAATTGAATGTCAACAGCTACCTAGTAGCCTATTGGCTGTTTCGAAGAGATGGCAAACATTGATTGGTTAATGGAAATTTTCCAAAGGATAACTCTCCAAGCCAGAAAATGATGTTTTAAATCTCCTTGGCAAATTTTTAAAAGAAGGTAGGTAACAATTATGGTTTGATAAATGGTCAACGACTAGCCCATGGTTTTTGATTTCCTTTAAATATTAATAAAAAAGTTATACCTTGCTAACTTTACAAGATATTAGAGTGACTCAAGGACAGACAGACAGAGCCTTTACTATTGATAATAATATTAAATCACTATAATTATCTTTCTAAAAAAAAGGTTGATCCGATTTTCTTACCCTGGAAGATATGATGCAATTGGAAATTCAGAGGGGTGTCGGATTGCTCTGGATTTTCGTTGGGAGACTTCTATTATCTGAACAATCAAAATCTTTAGACCCGACTGCATTCAGGTTTTTTGATAAAAAAGTCTGTTGAAATCTTTAGTATGTTTAAATGTTTAGGTCATTTGCATAAGAATATTTTATTAAATAAGTTCAATATGATTTAATCCTATTTTAAGGAATCCCATGACTTGCAATTGCATACAATAAACGATCCTATTTCTATCTCAAATAATTCAACAATCATTTATTTCACTTAAAAGGTTTATTTTCATATCGTCTTATTACATATATGGAGAACAGATGTAAAATTCACGCGCGTGAAATTCAATCAGCCAATCAGAATTTTGTATCCAAACACCCCACCCCAAAATTTAATTTGATTTTGATTCACAACAGAGACAAAGGTATGTCACACACAAGGAAAGAAAGGATCAAACAACGAAAAAAGAGAAATGATTTTTAACTGATATGTAGAAAGGTGCACATTAATAATATAATGATAAAAAACCGCTGGAGCAATTGCATGGGAGGAAAAATACTCGGACCTTAGGTGTTAGCCGAAATTATCTTTTCCCGAAAACAATTCTGGCAGTCACTTTGGCTTTACGATATCCTTTATACGAATGAATGAGCATAAAATAACTATGCTATTCGATCTATCTTATATTAAAAAGTTCAAATAATTTTGGTTACTAGTAAATCCAAGTTCGGAACTGGTTTTGTCATTTCAATTTTGAGGCAACTTTTCCTAAAGCAATTATGAGTATCACCTATTCTTTAGCCATTCTGGCAAAAATCTCTATTCTACTTTCGTTATTTCTTTATATTATTATTATTATCATTAATATCATTCATTATCTTTTGTTTTTTTCTCTTGTTAACCCAACCTAATTACATCTATTGTTCTTTTCTTAGAACGAGATTTTTCTTTGGTAAAATTTATTGGTGGTGGAAGTAAGCATTTCCTTTATTTATTCTCTTCAGTTAATTCACAAATTTCAACTATCATTTCGTTAAAAATGAAAAATCCGAGCCTTGCTCAGCTTTTTGATTAAATAATGTTTAAAATCTTTCAATGCCTTCCAAATATTTTCGATTGCTAATTAGATTGCTTGATTTACGTTTTTTAATTTGGCCTTATTTCATTAATTATTTCATCAATTTTTTGGTTTATAAAGTAAAAAAAGCCAAGGGAAATTCCATTCGACAAATCCACAAAAATTAACTTTCATCAAACATGGGGTGGATTATGAATGTTTATCAAGCAGTTAATAAAACTCAAAGCCTAAAGCTATGAAGCACATATCATGACTACGGACTATCTATGGTCGATTTGTCTATTGAGCTCGAGGTTGTTTGTGGTGTGTTTTTTTTTTTTTACGTTGTTCCTAATGCAAATCCAAATAGAATTATTATACAAAATTTCTAATACATTAAATAAAAATTTTGTCATATAGTAAAGAAAAAGATTTATTTATTTCAAATTAATTTCTTTGCATGTCTTTGTCATATCAATATTGGCAATGCGAACACAAAGAATTTTAATAATATATTGGTAATTTTTTAAGCTCTAAAACTGCCAAAAAAAAATATTCATAATAAAATTCTTAATTTATCAAGGGCAAGCAGCGGCGTAAATCCTAATTAAGTAATGATTTACTTGACAAAACTTGATAAAACTTGACTTAACGTGTTAATATGGCAAATAAATATACAGTTGAGTAGTCAGTTTAGTCAAATGCTCACTTGAGTTACGCGGTCAGCCCTGGTTGTTATACACAATAAATTAATGTTTTTTTCTTGTTTATAAATAAAACATTTGATCTAATTGACCTATTTATTTATTTATATATGACAATGTTAATATGTGTTTGTAAGACAAACTTCAATTAACGTTAGCGTTAATTAATTGACATGGATTAATTAAATATTAAGGTTAAGATTTTATTCATCCAGCCATTCATTCATAAAAAAAATAACTTCCATTTCACGTTTAGTGGATTGAGAAATTTCTAAAAAAACTTCTATTTATTAAATTATATTACTATATTTTTTTATTATTAAATTTTTTCTTTTTTTTCTTTTTAAACTATTGATTATTAATAAATGTCTGTTGTCTATTTTATATCAAAAAAAAAGCGAAAAAATATACAAAAAAAAAAAATTTAATAAATTTTTTTTAAAAACAAACTTTTTTTTTAATCTAACTCTAAAATACATGTGTATATTTATAAAATGGTTTTTTCAACTACTATTTTCATTATTTTCCGGTTGTGCTATATATTACTTCTAAAACTAGTTGCAGTGCCACTCCTTTTTGACATTAAATATTCCAGATCATCATCGTCATCATCGTCCTGGTCAGCCGCTACAGCCTTCTTCATCATCACCAATCTTCTTCCTCCTCCTCTTCTTCCCAGACTACTACTTGCACTACTGATTCCTAAACCAGCACCAGCACCAACACCAGCACCAACACCAGCACCAACACCAACACCAGCACCAGCACCAGTATTATAATTTGAATTACGTGAAATTGTATTACGTGAAATTGTATTACGTGAATAAGAATTACGTGACGCGATTCGAACACCAATTCTTCTGCCAGTTCCATCATACTGATACTCATATTCATTAACATCATCATCATCATCATCATCATCATCATCATCATCTATTTCAACATTCTGATCTTCCTCACCATCATCTTCTTCGTCGCCATCTTCACCACTCTTCATTTTTTTCATATCTTTTTTGATCTCCTTCACCTGCTTGGTTAATTCTTTGATTTGTAATTGAAATCCCTTTTGCATATTTAACATCAAATGATACAAATCATCTATCGTCAATTCAGGTGTTGTATGTGTATCAGATCGTTGATCGTCGTCAATGTCATTGTCGTAATCATCATCATCAAATTCATCTTCAAAGTCTTCAGGAAAATATTCTTGTGGCAATTCATGAGACATTGGTTGTGAAGGTTCTAGGACTGGCAGTATAGGAGGTATTTGTTGAGGTAATTTTGTTGTGCCATTAGATGATTGATTGCCATTTTTTGAAGGTTTTTTATCAGATTCTTTATGATGAGATTTTATAAAAGATTTTCTATGTTTTAATACAAAACGGGAAGCCATTTTAAAATAATTTTTACGTTTATGATGATGATGAGGTGATGTTGGTGATGATGATTTGTCAATAGTTTGATGATGAGGTGATGATGGTGTGGGTGGTGTTGGCGGTAGTGGTGGTGTAGGAGGTGGATTTCTATGTATTATCGATTTTATAAAATTCGATGCGTGGTGTGAAGATGAGTGAGGCGGTTGTGGTGTTTGTGATTGTGGCGGAGGAGCTTGAGGGCGTTGTTGTTGTGATATCGATTCTTTTTGTTGATTTTGTTGTCGATGTGAAGATGTAGATGAATTTATTACCATTATCGATGATGAAATATTTTTATCGTCTTCTTCTTGGTTGTCATTGTTAAATTCATCATTGCCATCTTCATCTGAAGGGGGTGAAGGAGGGGGTGAAGGAGGTCGATTATCATTTTCTTGTGAAGTTGGTGATGTTTCTTTTTGTAAAATAAATGAATTATTATTATAATAATCATAATAATTATCATCATCAACTTCATAACTATCATAGTAATTATTATTATTATTATTATTATGATCATGATGATAATAATGATGATGATGATTATAATCATAATCATTATATTGACTATAACTATACTCACTCTCTCCAACATTCTCCATTTCAATTGGCTGTTCACCTTCTTCCTCGTCCTCTTCCTCTTCTTCTGTGCCTTCTTCTTTGTCATAATTATTATTATAATCATCATCATCATCATTATCATCATTATCATCATCATCACCATTATTATCATCATCATCATTTCTTATTATATTTTTATTTGATGATTCTTGCATTGATGATGATATCGATGCTTTTGATGATGATATTGACGCTCTTGATGATGATAATGATGATATTGATAATGATTTAACGTGTTCAACACGTTTATTTGTTGGTGATGTGGTGACGGCTGTTGTTGGAATGGCGGGTAATTTCTTATTTATTATTATGGATGATGATGTGTTTTGATTATTGTTATTGTCATCGGATTTGTTTTTATTTTTATCGTTTTCGTTGTTGTTGTCTTTGATAATAGTATCGGAAGTGGTTTGTTTTTTATTTTTCGATGATGAGCCAGTCATTTTCTTAAATTTTTTAATTGTGGAAGAAAAAATTTTGGAAATTTTTAAAGGAGTGGAAGGTGAAGAAGGTGGTAGAGAAGAAGGTGGTAGGGGTGGGGGGGAGGAAGGAGAGGAGGAACGCCAAAGAAATTTAACTCCTTTCACTTTATCTTGGAGTGTAAAAGAAAAGAAAAATAATTTTTTCTTTCAAAAAAAACTTTACGAAGGGAAAAATTGGGAAAAATATGGAATTAACAGTTTAGGCAAACCATATATAATATTTTATTATATATATGTAATTTATGTAATTTATGTATAATTTATGTATATAATAATGAATATATCAATGTGATAATATATAATTGAATAACAAAAGTATGTATGTGTATATATATATTGGTTAACAATCTATTGTTTTAAACGGTTGGTTTTATATTGTTATATTTTTATAGTTTACAATTTATGTGTAAATTTAATTTATAATTAATTTCTAAATCTCAAATTTGTTGTGAGTTGTTGGTAAATTTTTTTTAAAAAATATAATTTAAAGAAAAAAGAAAAGGAAAAAAAAATTTTCAAAAAAAAATAGGAATATCAGTATTTATGCATTTATATATATATTATGTTGTTGGTATATATGTATATGTAGCTTATAATGATGATTTTAAAAAAAGTTTATTTATGAGTAATGAGTAACTTTACAAGTTTTGTTTGATAGAGAGCTGAGTGCTTGTTTTAATTTAGTAATTGAGCTACAATAATGATAAATTTAAATTAAATTAAATTAAAATTAAATAATTAATAATAATTAAAATAATAACTAATAGAAATAAAACAAATAAAATAAATAAAATACAAATATAAATAAAAATATTAACAAATTAGCATTTATTTAATAAATAAAATCCAATTAGAGTGTCATTTAAAAATAAATTATTTTATAAAAACTATTTTGTCTCAATTTAAAAAAATGCAAGCTAGAATCAATTATCTGACTAACTTAGTTAATAATGATTGGGAAAGTGAATGTATTTTTTTTGATAGGTCGTAAAATAAATAAGGTATATAAATAATATGATGATGTTGATGTTTTAATGTTTATGGTAAAATATATATTTTAAACAATGATATTACGTACATATTTACTTCGTTTTTGTTCATCATTTTGCCTCAACTTTTTTTTTGGCGGAAAATTTTCAAATTTGTATTGTGTGGAGTACAGTATAAATACAATGATAATGTAATAATTAGGTATTAGGATGAGAGTGGGTGAATGATTAATATTAATACAAATTACTTTTTATATATCAATATGTAGATGTTTTATTGCACAGACTTTTTCTCATGTGTCAACCGTTTTTAGGGGACAAAGTTCATGCAAGTACCCCAATAATGCAATTGTGACAATCAAGCATATGCGCATGCCCAATACTAAATAAATCGGCAAGCACCTGTGTCTGAGTTGCTTGCCACATCTTCTCCATATTATCTGCCATTTGAAACTTGGTCTTTTTGTTTTTTTTTTTTGTTTTTTTTTTTAAAATTTGGAATTTATCATTAATTTGCCAATTGACATCTTGTTTTGGAATTTCCTGCCTGCTTGCATTGACATGATCACTAGTTTGTGATGGATGATTCCTATTGCGATTTACCGAATTACGCTATCGTGTGTATGCTCTTAAATAATCTCTTTGGGTGGTCTTTAATTTTTCCAATTGAGCTCTATCAGTTTAGCCGATCTCCATTTTAATTCCAAGTCTGTTCTGTTAATGCGCTTGGCCTGACAACATGATAACATGATTAAACCAATTTTGAACGATTTTTAGCTTTGCTTCAAAGTAGTTTTGTTCCTTCATAGATATTTGGTTGATATTTATCTTTAATTCTAATTATAGCATACGACGTACCAAGTTCGTTTGAACTTAACAATGTATTGCTATATCAGCGATATCAAATGACATTCGAAGATCTTTTAATAGTTCTAGAAAGTTAGTTATACAAGACAGTTTAAGTTTACAGTTTGAGTTGGAGTTTGAATTCACAAGGAGAAGAAGACAATGAATGAATAACGTTTGCCGTAATTCCGGTTCTCAATTATTTTTGTTTGGTCTTGTTGATAATTGGTTAGAGCCAGTAGTATCAAGCATGAGGGATCGTCACATCGGCTGCAAATCTTCACGTGACTTTGGTTGTAATTCTTGGGATCTGCATCAAGCATTAAAGCAGCAGGGTTTCTTTAAAGTCCGAGATATTGAAATGAGTGCAGCGTTGGCGTATTATAATATGTATCTTTGCCATGTTGTGCTTGATTTTGTTTATATTTGATGGAGAAGAAATTGTGCAGCAGTATTGATAATAAATATAAGCCAACTAGTCGTGTACTTATACTACTACTAACTGTATATAAAAAAAATTTTTATCAATAAAAATGCTACGTTTTGTGTAACAGCTATTATTTTAAAGTTTATATATTATAAAAATTCAAGCTTTTTGTTTTTTTCTTCATTCTAATTAAATTAATCCAATATAATAAAAATTAATAAAAAAAAAACAAGATATGGCTAATTATGGTAGAACTTATAATCAAAATTTAAATTATAGTAATCCAAATATTAATCAACAACAGCAACAATATAATAGTAATAATAATAATCAGCAATATAGTAATAATAATAATCAACAATATAATAGAAATGTTAATAGTGGAATTAAGGATGGCTTTAAAGAAATTGAAGGTGATTTCTATAAAGATTTTAATTTTTCCCTCAAGATTAATTACCAATTACTATACTAATTAATTATTGTAATTTAATGACCTTTTAATTAGCTGTAATGAAACAGATTAATAATAGTTGGGAATTTATGATAGATGAAGATGTAATTTTTGTCAATTGATCGGAGGATTTTTAATTTATTGATTTTCAAATTTCTTCCTTCTTAATTAATTCTTTTTTAATTATTTGATGATTAACAGTTCAATCCTGTCCCACTTTCATTGCAATTACTTGATGGCAGTTCATTGGGAAGGGATTATGATGCATTCCAAAGAATAAAATCAAATCTTGATAATGCTTTACAAGCAATTGTTAATGGTAACTAAAATTAATGATGTGTGATTGATTAATCAGTCCTTATCATTCAATTAATTTGTTTGATTTTATTGTTGATAGAATATTACCAGGGGTTTAATAGTTCAATTGGTACATTTGGTGGTGTGATCAATAATATTAGTGGTGAGTATAAGTAAGCAAAATGTATAATCATAATCATGTCTAGAGATTTGCTCACCAGCATGATTCAAATATCTTTTAATTTTTAAAAGACTCTCAAGAAAGAGTAAAGGAGATGAAATCAAATCTTAAAGCATCTAAAGAAATACTGTTATCAAAACGTTCAGATCTACTTCAATTATGGTTTCGTAGTCAACAATATAAAGAAATGATTCGTATTCTGGACTTGATGTAATTATTGAGTTGTTGTGGTTTTAGTTTAATTTAATTAAATTTTATAACTCTTCTTCTCGTATACATTCATATTAAATAGCGAGGATTTTAAAGAAACGCCTTCTAGATTAGAAGTTTTATTGAGAGAAAAACATTTTCTAACTGCTAGTAGAATGTTATTGGATGCTATACGTGTTATGGAAAAAAAAGAAATGGCTGGTGTTGGTGCTTTATCAGATTTAAGAAGATATTTGAAAGCTCAACAAACGGTAAATTATTTGATTAAAAATAATAAATCATCATCATCATCATCATCATCATCATCATCATCATTAAATCCTTCTTCGCTTGTCAAATAATATATTTAGTCTCTTCATGAACTTTTAATTGAAGAACTACATAATCATTTATATCTTAAAAGCTCATATTGTGATAGTCGTTGGGTGCAATATACAATAGATCAAATTACTTGTAAGATTATTTATTTAATGAAAATCCTAATTGGTTTAAAAAAAAAAAAAAAACTAAAAATTCCTTTTTTCATAATTGATCTCAAACAAATAATCAGTACCGTCACCCCCAATGGAATGGGATATGACTACAAAAGAAACTCGCAAAGCAAATTATATGACAAATGTTCGTAATAAAAAGAACTTACAAGGTAAAGATTACCTCTATCTATATCTATATTTCTATATAAGTTTGTGCATTTCAATTTTCCATTATTGTTATGGGAATTACAAACAATAAGCTTATTAATAGATTTTAGTCAACACTAGTACACCATCTAACGTACCATTTAGTCCAAAATCTCCCAAAGTAATATTTACAACTATGAATTTAAATGATGAAGATGACATGGTAAACACCAACTAATAATTTATATTGATGATAAGAGAATACTATTATTTAATTAACTTGAATGATTTTATTATAATAAATAGATTAAAGAAAATCTTGACATAAATCCAGAAACTGATTCTTTTTATTACATGGAAATCTTATTGGAATCTCTTGCTGTTCTCGGTAAATTGCCTCAAGTACTTGAAGTAAGTTTCAAAATAATAATTAATCAATCAATTGCTTACTTGATTGCTCACACAAATTACATTTTGAATATTGCATTAATTAATAGAAAATTACTCAAAGGATTCCGGTGGAATTGTATCAATTAGTAGATAAAACAGTTGCAGAGGTTGAGGCAAGGTTAGCGAACCATTTATTTTGTTTGATTTTTTTATTGCTTCTTTTTTAAAAATCTTGAAGATGTCTAGTCATTATGGATCTACCAACCCACCTATATAATATTTTTTCATTATATTCTTTACTGTTCATATTGTTACTAGATATGTTGATATTATTAAAACACACAATACAAAGAGATTTGATATAACAGATTTATACACGCTGGAAAGTTCGGAAAACGATGTTCAAATGGAAATCTTAAAAGATTTGTTATGGACTCTTTACTCGAAATTTTATGCTGTGCTGCAAGGCCATAGATTTGCACTTGAAGTAGTCGAAAGAATTAGTAAGGTTAGAAATTAGAATAGTAATGATTAAATAATAAACAGTGAAATTGTATATTATTAGTATTACTACTATTAGTCTTATTATTATTAAATCTGATTTTTTTTTGATTGATGTTATAGAGACCTTCTAATAATAAGACCACGGAAGGTATATATACACCTATTATCCAGCATTCATTATTATTATGATATTATATAGTATAAATGGATTTCTGATAATTAAATAATAATTGATTAATAGAATCTCAAATAATAAAAGTTTATCCATTCATTGAGATATGGAAACCAGTTCAAAATGAAGTGAGTAGTAATTAATAAATTGATTAATTGTTGTAATTATAATTATAATTTTATTCTTAATTTCAAATCTGAAATATCATTATTATTTTTCTTTCCCTCCTACCCAAAGGTTCGTTCATTATTAAGAGAATATATAACCGATGATGAAAAAGAATCTGTTTCAATGAATGCTCCTGAAGCTTCAATGCAAGATTTAATCAAAGATAAGAAAGCAAGAGATGCTACTAAAGTGAGTGAAAATGACAAATTATTGCCGATAAATGATGATTAAATATCTGATAACTAATGAATGAATCCAATTCCAAATTCCAATTCACTATTATCCTTCTTCCTCTCCCCCGACTTATCAATTAATATCATTAGCAAATTTTTAGATTTAGTGATGTAGACGCAAAATCATTTATAGAGCTTGACAAAGAATACGAGAACGATGTTACCAAATCGTTGAAACAATCACTGCCAGAGATATTTTCAAAAAAAGGCGTTGACGAGAGGCAATTATCTGTTTTTGTAGTTGATAGATTTGCCAATAATAATTCAAATATGATGTCAGCTGGTCATCGTCTTGTGGTTAGACCGGATGCTTTTAACATCTCGGTGTTGTTTAAACCTACTTTGGAGTTTTTGGAAAAAGTTAAAACGATTATTCCAAATAGGTAAAGTATTAGTACGATGATGATGGCGGTGACGATGATGATGATGTATGGATGAATGTATATTGGTGGGGATTAATTATTTGGTGAATGAGTGGCAAGTTTTATATTTTGTGGACGCGAACATATTTATTTACTTTTATTTTATTTATTAGTACGAGTGGATCATCTTCTACAGATTTTACTGCATTTCTGGATGATTTTGTCTTTAATGTTTTTCTACCACAAATCGGGGATAAAATATTTGAATTATTTCATAAAGTTACAACTGGTTTGTATAAATCATAATAATAATAAATGATTATTATTATTTTTATTATCATACTGTAATAATGTTATATATTTTTTTATCATGTAATAATTAGATACTGAAGCATTTCAAGAAGATCCAAATTATAAAACATATAGCCCGTTACCGGTTGTCAAAGTCAGTGTTTATAACAGTAATATTCTATTTGATTTGTTATTTATAGCAATTCTTAATTTAATAAATTTAATAATTGTTTATTTTATCCAATTACTTGCTTAATCATTTTATTTGCTTTAATCATTCGTAATATATTATTATATGTACAAAGAGTACATTTTCAGTCATTATGATTATAGAAAATTTATGTGGTTTGCTTCAAACAATGAAAAAAAATAATGAGGAATTTAATAGTATGATTATTACTTTGTGCACACAATATTATGTAAAATGCTTTGAATATTTTCAAGGTAAACAACTACTCACCATCATTTACCTAGTTCGTCTAAATCATTTATTAAAAAAATAACAATACATCATTATTATTATTATTACAGCAATTGTATCCAAGAGTTCCCCTTCACCAAATGATGCTGGTAATGAAGTGTCGGAAAGAAGAGCTTCATCCATGGCTAATCAACAGGGTCTTAGTGCTACTTGGGTACAGCATGAACATGTCTCGGAGATTTTGTATCAGTATCCTTATGCTTTTGATGATAGTGTTAGAACTAACCAAAAAAGAAAAGCACTTTGCGATAAAGTCGGTATTTATTTTATATATAAAAAAAGGTTTATTGGAAAGAATTGTATTAAGATATTTTTTCTAATTGTTTAATAGGAAACAGAAATTGAATTACGTTTGAAAAAAAATCGTCAAATAAGACTTAGTGAATTGATTATGGATTCTAAAAAATTGAAGGCACTGGCTAATATGTATCATAGTTTGGCAAGTGAATAATATGATTGTGTAATTCATGGCTTTTAACTCATGGAATGCTAATAATGTATGGGAAAATTAAAATTTTGTTTTATATAGAGATGGTTGGTTGCTAAAATTTGGGAATTACGTGGTCAAGTTTCAAAAGCTAATTTGGATGATAGAAGTTTGGTAAATTATTATTATTGTGGTTATTTGTTATTATTTTACACAACCAATTAAACTCCCTCCCTCTTTAACTTGTTCAATTTATGCATATCAATTAGGCAAAGATAAATAGGCGTTGGTCATCTTTAAATGATGCTATTGGTGCAAACGATGGAGAGAAAGACAATGATAAGGCTGTCCTGCCACTTACTGGAGAAATGGAAAAGTAAAAAGAATTACCATATATGATTTCTAATTAATTAAATGTTAAAACACTTTTATTTTTATTAATATGTATATATATATATATAAATTTAGTCGTTTTAATGCATTACTAGCTACATTTAAACAATTAGCGGAACAATCTTTATTCACTTTAAGAGTTGAATTAAGATGTCATGCCCTACACTTCTTAGACTTGGCCACTAGAGAGGTATATGATTATATATATATATATAAATGCTTGAGTATTAATAATATTTATAACAATGTAGCTGTTTGTTTATTTTAATTTTTATAGGGCAATTATCAACTTGATTATGAAGCTTATGAACCAGATCCATATGTAATAGAATTAAATTCTGATATTGTAAAATTTGATGAAAGCATTGCATCATGTTTATCAGCACGGGAACATAAGTGAGTAAAGTTTATATGTATATATATAAATAATTACAAACAAAATTTCTGCAAAATTTTTTTTATTATATAATTAACGCTATTATTACTTTTATCTCGGGGTTTTTTATTTTTTCATCAGATTTATATTTGAAGGATTGGATTCATTAATGCAGAATGTATTGATTAATAATGCAACATTTCTTAGAAATTTAAATAGTAACGGTGTATCAAAAATGACTCGTAATATTTTGGCATTACAACAAAATTTGAAAAATATTGTTGAAGTACCAAAAGAAATTTCATTGGATAAATCAAGGATTTATTATGAATTATATAATATTGGACCTACCGTAAGCACAATTTTTCAATTCATTATTACATTATTGTCACTGTTATATTATCTTTTTTGGCATTTACTTATTTTGCAAAAAAAAAAAATTTTTTTGTGACCATAAAATTTTAGAAAATGTTGGAACAAATTAAAAAAAATGAACCAATTTTTACATTTGAAGAGTACAAATTATTGTTGGAAGTTTTTTATAAAATAGATCCGAACGAAGTGGTATCATCAACATCAAAAGGCGATGGCCCTTCATCAAATAGAAGATTGTATAATGAGAATCTTTTGGAACTGAATGAATTGATGTTGGATTATATTTAAATTTTCAATTTAATTTAATGGGATGAGTAGATAGATAGATAGATGAGTTGCGAGTGGATGGATTAGATGAGAACCGTTTTTAATCTTTAGAATGTTTAATAATTTATATTTTATTATATTTATTTATGTATGTTCCACTGTTGAGATTTTAATGAATATATTTTTTTTATTTTTTGCTTTAATTAAACAAAACAAAAATATTTAATCACTAAAAAAAAATATACTATTTATTTCTCGATTAAATCGTTTATTTGTTGTTTTTATTTTATTCGTCATCATCATCATCAGCATCTGGACTAATATTGAAGTATTTTATTTTATAAGTGTTCTAATAATATCCATTCATTTATTTGGACAAAAAAAAGAAAAAATTTTTTTTTAAATAATTTGATTAATAAACGTATACAAACACACCGGCACATATATAAAAATTCATTTTTCTCTTTACAATTCCCCAATAAAAAAATAGACTCACTTTATCAGTAGCAACTACACGTAACCAATCACGAATACGATTTTTCTTCATGAATTTTTTGGTAAGATACTTAATATATCGCTTGGAAAACAAATGCGAATTTGTTGTTATGGTAATTTTATGTTTATCGTCAGCATTACGAGTTATTACTACCGCATCACCTAATTGTCCTGTACGATTATTAATTTTAATTTTATCATGAAGAAATTTTTCCTTAAAAAAAAAAACCAAAAAAATTTAGTCCATGCTGCTGCTGATGATAATTGATTGGATTTTTTTGTTTATTTGTGAAATGTATATATGTGTGTGTGTGTGCGTGTATGTAAATTAATACCTACTAAAACTGCCGTATCAAGGATATTATCACGAGAAGGTTCTGAAGCATCAATTATATATTTTTTTTTAATGACTACTTTTTTACTACCGCCACTAGTACCACCACCACCACCTTTTTTTATAGTTGCACTTGGTTTACTAGCTTTTGTCTAATATATCACATATATATATATACATGAAAAAGAGTTTTGTTTTAACAATGATTTATATATATACAAACATATAAACAAGTGACGAATGTAAAAAAAAAGTTTAAATCGATTACCGTTGTTGGTTTAGTAGGTGCCATATTTTTACTGCTATATATATAATTAATTAATACGGAATGATTAATTAATTGTTAAGTTAGTTAATCAATAAGTCATAACTTGAATCGCAAAAAATTAGAATGTAAAAAAAAATTCATTACTTTATATTAATAAAAAAATCCTAAATTCAAATTAAAAAAAAAAAAAAAAAACTTTTAAAGCTATAGATGTTACACCAACATCAGTTATTGAATTAAGAATGATATTCACAAATAATAACAACATTAATATTAATATTAAATCCAACGAAAACAGTTTATTACCGCCAAATTTCCAGCTGGACCGATGATGGTAAAGATCCAATATTCAGAATTTTTAAAAATAAAATTTGATTGATTGTTTATGGAAGTCATGATGGATTTTCTTGGAGAGCTTTTGAAGAAAAGTGTCGTAATATAGAAATATTAGTTATTATTGTAAAAAATTAAGGAAATATAAGAATCCTCTTCCTTTGTTGGGATGTCCAGAAAAGGGCAGGGTACAGGAAATTGTAGCTGATGCCTGTCCATTGTTTATTCAATATTTGTATATAAAATTAGAAAAAGACGGGCGTGTGGTTTACGATAAAACTGAAAGGACAGATGAAATCAGGAACAGGTCCTTTCCAAGATTACTTAATATCAATATTAAATAAAATAGAAAAGAACATGAACAGAAAATAACCAACACCGTCACATCCTTTTCAAGACTCTTTTATTTAAAATGTCCAAGCATTTTTCATTATTGAATTTAGGATTATAGGCAGGAATTCTTTAGATCGAAATCCTGCCGCTTTGAAGCCAATACTTAGGTTCTTCAGGATATTTTATAATAAAGTCTCCATAGGACCAATGAGGATAACTTTTGCCTAAAAAAATTGACATTGAAGTATTAAATTAAATTTAAATAATATATGGTTAAAAGGAAAACTCAAAGAATTAGTATTAGTCAAATTGCAATGAATGCAAAGTATAAATCGTATAATAAAAAAGTTTGTTTTTCGCGTAATTAAATAATGTAATTTAAATTTTTTTTTTAAAATGATTTTATTTATTTATTCGATTCAATTCATTTACAAACATCCAACTAGAATTGTATTTCGAAACTCGAGGGTTAACTTAGGAAATTCATTTGAAAGTAGTTTAGAAAGGCAACTCCATAATACTCATCAAATTAATCAACTTGCAATTTACTAATTTTGCCATTTTGATTTTTATCATAAAATTATTAACAAGCTACATAACGTGCGTTTTTGCATAATTGATACTTGGGGTGTCAATACTTTTCGGTAAAAATCTAAGTTATAATCAGAAATGTTTTTTCTTTTGCTGCTTCAAAGATCTTTACCAACACTTTCTTTTTTATTTAAAAAAACTATCCGATAATAATAGTAATCTTTTAGAAGGAACTGCATTTCTCAGTATCGAAATGAATATGAAGTGATTTTTAAGAAATCTTGTGGGATGGTGATGGGTGACCCAAGTAAAAAAGGTTTCAGCTCGTTAATATTATACAGATTATAGGGCAGTTCGCTTTAGAAGATGGTCGTATGTATTAATAACAATATTAACAACCAAAACTGCTTGATATTGATACAATTGACCAAGGTTTTTTTTTTGTTAATAATAATGATGGTAATAATGACAACGAGATGATAACAACAATAATAATAATGTCAATAATGATGACGGATGACGACAATATTAATGATGAATAATAATAAATGTTTAGTGATAATAAATGTTTAGCAATACAACATATATTTTTCTTTTTTAAAAAAACTATCTTTAAAAAAATTTTTATACAATAATGTATAGAAAAGGAGGACAAGAAAAACTGAAACAAGAAATGAGCAAGTATTATTAAAAGATAATTATTTACCAAGTGTACTTCAACGACATTGTCTGCTACATTAGTCAAAGTCATAAATACAACAAGTCGATTTGAGCAGTACAAAATTAAATAATTTTGATCTGTTATCAATACTTGAAGAGGTATCTTCATTACCATCTATTATTTATTAATTAATAATAAAGTTTTCTATGTTATTATCTAAATTTTTATTTTAAAAAATATACTCAAAGGTATTACAATCAAGATGGTGATAATGACGATTAATGATGTGCCATTCATTGTAAACTTGATTTTTTTTTCACGCATAGTGCGCATAGTGGACATAGGAAATTTTTCTCTTACTGTGCTGCAAACTATACACTATGTGCATAAGGATTATGAAATAACACTAAAACTATATTAAGAAAAACATAAATGCCAAAGATTCTAAGGAGCTCCAAGATCAGGAATATACAGAACCAATGTCGCAATATCAAGCAATTAAAAGGTTTGTTTAATGTTTAGTGAATAATATCTTGTATTATGATTATTGTTACTTTATTTTTATTTTTTTAAATCATTGTGAAAAAATTTAATTACTAAAATATGTATGTTTAATTGGCGATGTTAGCTGGCCAATAAATTTTATCGGCTTAGCCGACTAAAAAAAAATTTCATTTTACACCTGAAACTTTAGTGCAATAGACATTTAGCTGAGATGGGTCCATCTGTATTACTTATAGTGACAAAAATACATTTACTCAAACAACAAAATAAAATACATCATAGCAGGATAGAAGCCATAGAGTTTCTATTCGTAATACAAATTCTTATTTTTATTCGAATTATTATTTGTTCTATTTGAATTATTTGATTATTTGTTCTATTCGAATTATTTGTTCTATTCGAATTATTCGTTTTATCTGTTTTATTCGTTTATTCAAATAAACTTTCAACATAATACTCAAATTCATGAATAAAACAAATAATTCAAACAAACTTTATTCGAATCATCATAATAACAAATAAATAATAGTAATTATAATGCATAATGAATGATTTTGTCATTCGTAATTAATTCGTAAATAATTTCGTAATTACGTATTACGTTTTTGGCAAAACAATTATCATCCCATGTATAAAGATGACTATTATATAAATAATTCTGTAACAATTTTGGGAAAATGATACTTCAATTGTTCCATGTCGCAATCCAAGGTGGTAGCAACCATCATCAAAAGTTGCAGCCGATATCCTTATATTCTTCTGCAACTAAAAAGTTGCAACTTGAGATGTTGCAAGCAGTTACCAACACCAACTTTACTACTATATAATTTTATAATTTTATGTTGTGAGATAGTAAAATGAGGTCTAAGATGAGATCCCAGTTTTTGTTGATCAACTTACTGCAGAAGACACATGACATGCCAAATGTAGGGGATGATCATTGATAGATTTTGCAGTGTCCAAAATCCAATGGTTAGTGCAAATTTTCTTGCAATTTGATTGGTTGATAAATTGATCAACAATGTGGACTAAAAATGATTGGAAATCATGAGGATCTTATTAATAAAGGGAATTTAATTGCCTAAATTGCAAAATTTGAAAAAGTCCATAGCTCTAATCAGGTCCCTCAAACAATTTTAGTAGATGGTACATTTGAGGTTTAATAGTAAATTACCTTTTCTCTACCCCAGATTTTAAATATACCATCCTGAAAAAATACAAATTCAAATATACCATATGTGAAAAAAGTAATTTTTTCTTTCCACTAAAATTTTATTTCAATTGATCATTTACTGGGTGTTACAAATTATAATAAACACAAATATAGTCATGTGAAAATTTGTGCAAACTACCAAATATGGGTAAGTTACTCAAAGTTTTAAAATTCAGTTGGTGTGCAGTATTTACACAACAAAATAGAGTGATCAATACATATTCTGATATAATGTGCTTCAACTTTTGACAAATCAAAATATTAGTTTATCTCTTAGATAATATAATGCTTGCCACCAGGAATAGTAAGTTCAACCTGCTTACTATCATGCACTAAAAAATTAATTCAATAATTAATAAATTTACACAATAATAAAATTGATTTGATTACTTGATTATGCATTGGATGCTTACTATCTAAAATATTCTGCTTGTCATCAAGCACTAAAAAATCAAAATTTAATTATTAATCTATAGCTAAATTTGAATAATTTAATTAAAAAAGCTTCAAAAATACCTTCAGGAACTAATTTGCTAAGTTGTTTTTCAAAATCTGGTGCATTTACTGGTGGTGGAAGATTGGAGGTATCAAGAAGCCTGCTTGTATAAATTGCTTCAGAATGTAGTTTCCAGGAAGGCAGCTTTGGTGCAATAAACCCAGCAAATAAACTATTACTACTCATATTCCATTTATTTATAATGGTAAATAATTTTTTAGAAGTTGGCCTTTTGTCAGGTTGAGCATCCCAACATTCCATAATTAATTTAGTTAGTAACTTAGGCATATGAGATGGAATTTCTGGACGTAAACCTTGGCAAATTCTTGATGCAAGATCATTATCATGTGGAATGTCATAATATGGTGGAAGACCTGTCATCAATTCATATGTCACAATGCCAAAAGAATATATATCAGATGCCATGGTATAATCTTTTCCATACAAAATTTCAGGGGCCACATAAGGTAAAACTCCATAAATTTCCTTAGACTGTGAACTTTGATTGGCTGATTTGCTCAAACCAAGATCTGCAATATTTAAAAAAGAGTTACAATACAAAAGATTTCCTGGATGAAAATCTTGATGAATCAAATTTTTATAATGCAAATAATAAAGTCCCTTGCTGATACACCATAATGACATGATCTTTTCTTGCCAACTCATACTATCATAGTTAACATTCAAATATGTACGAAGACTACCTTCAGATGCTAACTCCATTACCATTATGTAATTGAGTGTTTGAGGATCCTGAGAAATTCCCATACATTGAATAAAAAATGCATCATCAGCTATTTGGAGGTTTAATTCAACTTCTTTTAAAAAATCAATTGTTGAATCAGATGAACCATTTAAACATTTTAATGCTACTTTCTGGTATCCCAAACGGTTCCATTGTTGATCATTCACATTCCAACCATTAATCCTTCCATCCAACCAAATGGCTGAATACACAAATCCAAATCCACCTTTAGTAATATATTTTATATTTTTTAATCTATCATATGGGATCCATTCAATAACTTTTTCTAAACTGTTTGCAGCAAGTTGAATTTTTTGAAGAAAATTATTAACATGTATATTACCACTGGTCCATTTCTCAAAATCATTTTGAAAATGTTTTGAATTGCATGTTTGACACCAACAACATCCACGACTAGCTATTGTTTCATTACATGGCTGATTGCATTCCCTGCATACTGTAGTATCTGTAAATTTATCAATGATGATAAAATAAACATCACGATCCCAATATTCACATTTCTCTACATCACATGCAAAATATTCATCATCATCCATGTTCCAATCTGTGTTGTAGTAATAGCTGCGTAATTCCATTTGTTTCATTTGTGCATCATGGCCCATCTCTTCATAGTGTTTTAGTGTCCATGGATCCCTTGGTTCAATTTCTAATGATTTAGTTAAATCTGCAAGTGATTCTCCAAATCTACCCATCATGCGATAAGTTATTCCCCGACTACTCAATATTTGTGGATTATTTGGTTCAATTTCCAATGATTTATTTAAATCTGCAAGTGATTCTTCATATTTATCCATCATGCAGTAAGTTTTTCCTCGGCTACTCAATGCCCATGAATCATTTGGTTTAATTTTCAATGATTTAGTTAAAACTGCAAGTGATTCTTCATATTCTCCCATCATGTAGCTAGCTTCTCCACATAGTTTTAATGCCCATGTATCATTTGGTTCAATTTCTAATAATTTAGTTAAATCTGCAAGTGATTCTTCATATTTTCCCATCATGTAATAAGTTTTTCCTCTGCTACCCAATGCCCATGCATCATTTGGTTCAATTTTCAATGATTTATTTAAGTCTGCAAGTGATTCTTCATATTTTCCCATCATGCAGTAAGTTTTTCCTCGGCTACTCAATGCCCATGCATCATTTGGATCAATTTCTAATGATTTAGTTAAATCTGCAAGTGATTCTTCATATTTTTTTACCATGCAATAAATTTTTCCACGTTGTTTTAATGCCAATGCATCATTTGGTTCAATTTCCAATGATTTAGTTAAATCTGTAAGTGATTCTTCAAATTTTTTCATCATGCAATAAATTTTTCCTCTGCCACTCAATGCATCTGTATCATAATCGAGGTTACAGCAATGTTATACAAAATTAATTAAATTACTTTATTATTTTTTGTTTGGTATTTGTTACATTTATGGCCGAATTCGAATTAACTTTTTAGCCATGCTCTTCAATTAATATATTTTACAAAGTTATTTAACAATTCTATGCTTCTTATAACTAGAAATCTTCGACGATCTGTAAGCGCACACTTTATGGTATGAATGAACGCGGCCCTTTTAGAAAGCGACACACTTCCCTTTTTTATTTATTTTTATTTTTCTTTGGCCGTTTAAAAGCTTAGTGAACTTTAAACTACTTTTCTGTACGTTTACAGCAATTATTTTAACACAAGATAACGACTTTGGTTAATCGATAACAACTGTCAACACTTTACTTTGCCAAGCAAACTTACATTTACACTTGAACACTTAAACACTTTTACAAAAACGGTTACACTTGAACAAAAATTAAACCTTTGCTTCTTTACTAATCAGCGTTAGTGTTTTATTCCAAATCTAGAGAATTTCGCAACTGTACGAAAATCAAAAGGTTTCTCCATAAGTCAAACTAGTTTTGACTTTCAATTTTAGTTTTAACTTTCTCCTCTTCAAATAGTTTTGGCGATCAACGCTATTTAACACCAAACCTTAGGGTTCTATACCACTCTGATAACAATGGACAATTAAACCTTATTGTTTTATTTCCGACCACAAAAATTTTTATATTATTAAATTGATTTTTTTTGAAAGAAATAATATAATATTAAATTTTGCTATTAAATTAACTAGTTAGTTAACCGGCTAAGAACTTAAATAAATCCCAGTTGATTATGATGAAAAACCTTTTCAGATGCTTTCCGGTATTATTATTACTACTGCTATCGTTATTATGATTATTATTATTATTATTTACTATTGTTTATATCCCACCATTATTACTATTTAATGGTTTGAATAAATTTTACTCGAATATTTATTTTTGTTCAATATACGTGACAAACCATAAAAATTACTAAAGAAACGCCACGGGGATGCTATCTTTCCAGACTATACAGTATAGTTATTGCCTGTTTCCCAATCAAAAAATGTCAGGATCGACACGATTATTAAAAAAGCAAATAATTAGTTATTTCCTGGTTACTATTTATAAAAAATAGCTTAAATTATAGTCACGCAGTTTTACAATACTATCAATAAATACAATATGCTAATGCGCGTAAATAT